GACTCATCTCATTTACTATTTGAGATGATTTCACTGGATCGACCTCCATGAAGGTGTTTTTCTCAACCTCCTTGCGAGAACATCTTCATCCTTGATCTTTTCAGCGAGAGCGTCCTCGTTGTTCTTTTCCTCCTCTTCTATCACCATCACTACTTCCATCACAGATTTTTCGAAATTTAACGGTTCAAGATATTTAATAATAACTATTGTCTGTTCTTGCATTAGACTGCACTAGAACTTTCTTTCAATAAATCGATCTTATATCTATCTTATTTTAAGTTCCACAAAAGTGTACATTAGTTGAAAACAGATCTTATAATATAATAAAATCACCTCCGCGTTCGGACAAAACTGAGAGACAAAACGCAGAGAAAGTACATTCTTCGCTGTATAGCGAGGCTGCCTGAGGTATATTTACAAGTGACCGTTGTATATAAAACAAGTCAAGTCAAAAGTGCCTCCGCGAGAAGATCGGTCAGTTCAGAGACAGTTGCTTTTATATAGAGTATAGATATAGAGAATATCCATATCAAATTCTGTTTTTATATGCATTGGTTTAGGGTATTGGACAGCGCCGATACCGCTGTGCGCGCTATCTCATATATACTTACCATTTTTTCTCTCGATACATTGCCATCTTTTCCTATTTCCATTTTTCTTGTCTCACACAAAAACGTGTCACAACACGTTCAGGCAATGACATCATCAATATAATTTGATACAACAAAAATGCAACGTTTACAATTTCGCAAGCGCTGTTTTTTCAAGAGCATTCGACATGTCCAGGTGATGACATCATCAATGTAATTTGGATACAATTACGACGTTGCCAAATATTATGTATAATGATATAAAATGTAAAGATCTAAGTGCATCGCGTCATTATTCAAACAGATAACGTAAGTGACAACATGGAGCATAATTTGATAGAGCAAACTGCTCAACAAATACCAGAGAAAAGAGTATATCGCATAGGAACAATGTTGCGACGAATATATTGAACATCTGGAGGAACAGAACCGTGTCAAATGCCCGCGATTATTGGTAATAGATAATCACTAATCGCATGTATCGCGCGCCTCGAAAGTTTGAAAGAATCAATGCGCCGATTCAGCATGTAGGTGCCGGTTACATCGTGGGACTCCGATGGCGCGAGATCGAAACGGCGTTCGACAGTCGTATTCTGACGGACGCGATAATAAACTCCAATCATACTTCATATCGAGCTTCGCAGATTCCCGGAGATGCGAGAAATGTGAACGAGCGTGTAACAGAGCGTAATGTAAAGTTATGACTCTATCAAGATAAACACTATATTTAAAGGTGAATTCATAGCAGGTGATAAACGCGCGAATAAGAATATCACTACCCGAAACTTTGAACTCTTTCGATGCACTGATTTGCGTGAGTGGCACATCATCAGGCCTACCTTGGCATCGCTCGAAGAATTCCAGAAAACATGACAGCGAGTGGGCGCTGTCACGAATCCTCAACTTAACTGTCAACATGAATAAATTAACTCCCAATCCCCGTAAGATGTTACATCGAACTCTTGTGAGAAATTATACTGAAGAAGGTCATAATCAATGTGCATTCATGAACAATGCGTGTTTTGCCTGGTCGGTGGTCGCCGCTTTATAGCTGGCTAAAAGACATGCGGATCGGAAATTTTCATATCCGCATTATTCTACAGTGTTAAATCTTACAAGCATTGATTTTCCCATGATATTAAAGGACATTCCGAAATTCGAACGTTTGAACGCGGTGTCGATCAACGTACGTATACGGTATCGAAAATGGACAGATCCTCTACGTCTCACCGACGATAAAGAGAAATACGTCAATATGCTGCACAAGATCTACGCAACGACTGCAGTCTTGGCCACAGTCTTTGCGTGGATCAAGAATCTGTCGTATCTCGTGAGCTCGCAAATGACTGGGAACAAGAACAGGATATATTTCTGCAACCGGTAAATACATGAAAAATTATAATTTTCTTAAAATAACAATAATAATAACAATAATAATAATAATAATAATAACCATTTTTGTTTTTTTTTTTCAGATGCCTGCACTACTTCAGTTCGAGAAATGTCAAGTATCTATCAGGTTGCTCCTCGTCTTGATAAAGTGGACTGCAAAGTTCACGAAACATTGGTACTTCAAGAATGAATCTGGACACGGAGAAAACCCGCGTTACTATTATGTATTACTATTATTTTAATTTACACTTCATATATCATATGCTTTTTACGTTTATATACATATTATGTTACTATTACTTTTATGTATTATCTTAATTTACACTTCATGTATCATTTTTTACATTTTTATATTTTCGTACATGTATATGTATTTTTATATTGCATCTTTGTACATTTATTTATACATATATATTTTTATATATGTACACAGTTTCTATGTGTGCATTACGTAATATATTTACATATTGTGTGTGTATATATATATATATATACATATACATATATATA